ATATATATATATATATATATATAGCTCACGTTTCTCTGAGTCCAGGACCAACGTAAAGCGGAGTTTGGAAAGCATGAACAATTAGTTTTACAGGACCTATGAGTTGAGTTGAGCCCTTCGATGATCAGTGGTCAAACTGGATCAGAGGGCATAGCAGCGAATCCCTATGATGGAAACATCATAAGCCACATATCAACCAAGCTCTTCATAACCAAATGAAGTCAGTGGAGTAACGTAGCACTGTGTTGACATAATTGTGCAACAAAACTGATGATTTCCCGTTTCTATAACAAGTCAATAGCAGTCCACACAAATTTATCACGGAACAACTCGTGGATAACGTGAAGAGTTAACTAAAATTATAGAAAATCTCCGCAATTCCTCTAGGTGCTTGGTGCGCACACCTTGCCTAGACATCATATGCACTCAGAGTAACCTATGATGGATTAGGGTGGGCAAACGCCGCCTGAAAAGAAGTTGAGGACTGTGACAAATAACGACGGTATCTAGGATGCAAACGTATCGGACTACACTGCGATTCGACGAACCGAGGAAGCGGCGGGAGGCCGTCTTATCCTTCCACCTGTCTGTGATTGAATACATGCTGTGTGGCAAGATTAGTAGCTGATAAACAAACTAATAAAAAAGATATTGCACTAGTGCCTTGTTGATTTCGGTAAGTAAGCTAGGTTTTTGTTATAACCGATTACGAACTCCGCCTTCGGAACTTTACTGACGGGAAAAGACTCACCAAAAAAGGACACAACAGCTTTATTAAAAAAATTGAGTGCAAAATGACGAGGAACGTTGTAGTATTTAAAGCCTTGAATTAAGACTATCCGGTAGGCGTTGGTTGATTGGTTGGTGTGGCTTTCAGGACGTGAATGCCACCGATCGCCGTTGATTGGCTGCTGCAGTGTCCAATCAGCAGCTGGCTTTTCTTGCCCGGAAACTCGGAAGCCCTTCTGAGGTAACTTCGGCAGTTCCTAGAACGCGTCGGACATCTTGAGGTTCAGTTTCAGGAGTCTGATCTTCCAGACATCTCGCCCTTTGACCTGTAGACATTACTGCGACGCAGGTTACGTGGCACTCAGCCACCCGTAACTTATTAACGTGACGTTTTCCTCTCGAAGACCCTATAAATCACCTGAATGATTCTTTTGAGGACGATTCCTATATTACAGTTTTCGTAATCAGGACGACACTTTCGCACGTTCAGGGCGTTCATATCGGGAGGCCGATTTTTTTTCTGTCACTGAATGAGAGCATGTAAAGGTTGGTAGGGTGGCGTCATGTTTAAACCTCGTTCGGCCGTTTATCGTCCCTTCCGCTGGAGAGTGAGCGTCAGGAGACTGGGTTGGAAGTTGCCACGTAGTTCAACACGAAAGTATTCAGATACCAGAAGTGGTTGATTAATTTTTGTCAAGGTGCGTTAACAGCATTCAGGATCCCTTTAGTTTGAGCGTTTGACTGCATATAGCTTGGTGGGAAAGCAGTATGCATGCCTTCAGGCGAAATCAGCAGATTGGTAAGACATGAATTGAGTAGCGTTGTCGGACGCAATAGTTTCCCGAAGGCTGAAGGTTGAAATGAGGTGCAACACTTTAGCCATCGGTAATGTTTTGAGCAAGCAAACATCGAGCTGCTTAGTGAAGGCATCAACAACGATTACGAAGCATTGACTGTTAACTGATCCAGTGGAGTCCAAAAGAACACATGACCATGGTATTTCAGGTTGTGCACAAGGCTGCGGTCATTATCGGTTGGGTAACTGCTGATGGAGAGTGTGGTACGAAGAAGAAACAGTTTTGACATGGCTCTTCTAACGTTCACCAATACCTGGCCAATCAACAAAGTTGCGAGTGTGTGTTGTGTATTATCTCCGGATTTCCGTTATGAAACTAAGCGAGATTGTGAAGTTTGACGGGAGGAACGATCCGGTCACCGAAAAGGAAGCAATCACAGACAACGGACAACAAACTTCGTCACTGAACCTGAGGGACAGGTTCTTGGCTAGCTGGTATGGTAGCGCTCCATAACTTTCTGCAGCGCTTCATGATTTCTGGTGGTATCACAATCCATGTCATATGTCACCAGCAGCTCCTAGTCTCTGACACAGCGCTTCAGGATTTCTGGTGGTATCACAATCCATGTTAGATGTCACCAGCAGCTCCTAGTCTCTGACACTGCAGCACGGACTTCTGATTTGACATACAATATTTTCTGGTCCTATCGCATGAGAATCACTCAAGCATGAAAGCGCATCTACCAGTCCAAAGTTCTCGGCTGAGGCACACTGTGTGGTAAAGTCGTGGACAACCAGGACTTTATCCCACCGTGGCAACCGGTTGGCTGTGCGGGATTGGAAACCCTTCTTGGGACCAACTATAGCCGGTACTTGACCAGTTTGTTTTTGACACAGTTGTTTACTCAAAATAAAAATGCCTTGCAACAGGATCTCTAATACCCTCATTTCTAGCTAGTATTTGTATGAAGGATTTCCAGCAAACAACTATAGCCGGTGACCAGTTTGTTTTTGACACAGTTGTTTACTCAAAATAAAAATGCCTTGCAACAGGATCTCTAATACCCCCATTTCTAGCTAGTATTTGTATGAAGGATTTCCAGCAAACAACCTTGATCTGATATCATCGTCCGTCGAGAATGTTCGGGCGTTATTTTGATGATACCTTTATTGTAATCAAAAGTGATGACTTCCACAACCATCTCAACGGTTTGAATTCTCATATCATGGAGATAGAGTCTATCTCGGGCATACTACCCTTCTTGGACTGTATGACATGAGAATGGTGGAAAATTAAAAACTACTATCTACCAGAAACCAACAGACACATAAACCGTCCTAAACTACTCATAGGCACACCCAAAGTCCATGTACGCCAGCATTGTTTCATCAATATCTTGCTGGGTCAGAGCGCTGTGCACAGAAGAGATCGGCCGAACTGCAGCTCAAATCGAGATTACCAACAGACCTCAAGATTAGGCGGCAGTTAAGAAGGATATTGACTCCAGTAAGGAATGGATCAGCAAAGCAGCCACTCCGTATAAAGCAGGAAAGCTGGAGGTTATTCGAAGACTGTTGAACATAGTCAACATTCGGCTAGGGTCCCAGAAGCGAAAAAGCTACGCTCAGTTTTGGTGCAATTGAAGTATCCCCTTTCGGTTGAAAGGACTAGGGACAGTGCGTGTAAAATCAAATGCAACAATCACACTATGGTGTACACAGGACAGACAGCCAGGGAACTGCACATCAGAATTGGGGAGCATAAAAGGAAGATAAAGAAACCACCGAGGAATGCGGATGAATACAAACCGCAGGTAGAAGACCTCGCGATAGCATCACACGCGCTAGACACAGGGAAAAGAATAGATCTAGAGAATGTGGAAGTTTTAAGATGGGGACTGCGATTCACACCGCAGCAGCTGATGGTCGAGGCGGTAGAAATCACCAAGCATCACAGCGGAACTGGCGAGCAGATGGAGAGCGGTATAGATAAACAGAGTTGACACGCGATGGTATGGGACTGTCAATATACGTGGAATCATTGAAAGAGGGGGGGTTGGTTGAAAAACCCAACCAAAACTCCACAGAACCCCTTTCCTTACACGACTGTCGTAGCACTAGCTCGTCCACACAGACGGACAGAAAGTATAAACCACGTTCAACAGGAATCTTCACGTGAGGCGAACCGGAAGAACTAGACCTTAAGCTGGACCCAAATCGATGTAGGTTTCCCATTGGTCTTCATATTTGCTGACCCACCCTAACAAACAAAATCACTTAGCAGAAACCTAACACTGATTTAGCCTGGCTTAGCTTATCATTTCTCCTTCCGCCTTAAATCACAACCAACCTCGTAACTTAGTCACTTTGCCCAGTAACAAATCTACCAATTGTTTCCAAAACGTCTACAAAAACAACAACAAGTGTTGGTTTGCGATCCGTCACAAGTGTGAGGGGTCAGCTGAAAGGCGTTTTGTGAACCTTTTTTCAGACAGAAATGATGACCAGTACTTTGTTTTCAATCTGACCGTAGTTTCGTTCCGCCAGAGCTAGTGATTTTGCGACACTGATAATCGCCTTCTGTTTAACGTCAGGAAATTCGTGATTTACGGCTTCTTCAAATCCACGGTTCGATGCATCAGTAGTGCGGATGATGGGCAACTGAGGGTTGAATTGCACAAGCGGAAATTCAGACTGCAACAATTTCTTCACTTGTTCAAATGCGAGTGACAGACGCAAGACCAATCCCATCGTTAGCGGTGCATAACTGGCAGAAATCGCTGTAGCAGATGATAACTTCCCAAGATGACTTGAATTAAGAAAACATCGAATGGTAGAGGTACTCTCACGAATACAAGTATCTTTCAGGGGTCGGTTCAACAGGATACTTCAGTGAATTCACACGTTTCCTGCTTCAGGCAAAAACTGTAGTTGAAAGACGATCCCTAACCAAAAAGCTCTTCCTTACTTGCTCCCGCAACGATGATGTCATGAAGGCACACAATAAGCCCCCCATGCCACATAACACGGTGTTCATAATCTGTCACAATACTGCTGATGTGGTTTCCAATCTGAACGACAGTCACATGTACAGGAACTGATTCACGGTGCATCTAAGTTGTCAGGTGCTTGGATTCCTCTTCGACCCCAGTTTGCGTGTAGGCTTCTGAAAGATACTGCCTTGCAAAATACGTGCCACTGTGCATCCCTGAAAGATATCACTAGGCGGCACCAATGAGTAGTAGTGATTGTCCCAGGCGTCGTTTAGGCTTGTCCAGGAATCGGCACGGATCCGCTAAGCACCACTGCGTATCCTGACAACCACAAGTCACACGGTGTGCTAATACCAGTTCACCGGTTTCAAGACCATAACACCTTTCAAGTATCTAAGTTCAGTATCGAGAGTTGTTAAAACCACCTTTTCTGTCTGTAAACCGACTTGACATTCAGGGGTAGGCGTCGTGCCACCTTCTCTCTCGAAAGGCACCTAAGGCCAGCTCTGAAAAACGTCTGGCGTAGCCCTAGAATCGCCGCACCGACTGAATTAATGGTACTCGACACTGAAAAATCGATTTTGTGTAGATATGTGCGAACAATGCTAAAAGCTGTAAACGATTCATCCAATCCATATCCAGAAGGTCGAGCTCACAAGCGATCACAAAAGCTTATTATCTCCATCTTTCAATCGAATTCAGTAATTTAATAAACCTTATCTGCTCATCCACATCTGGTGCTGTTATCTGTTGGCCTTCATTCTGGTGAAATGATTTTCTTCAAGTACGAAGGAGAACGAATGTAATATCGGGAGCCATACTGAGCTGCAACCGAAATAAGCATCTGTTCGCTGTTGTTGTCACAGGATCCTAGCGACCCTCAACCCAGTCATTATACATGGCAGGCATTGCACTAAACCAGGGTTCTGACTGTCTTCGCCTGCTTCGCGATCTCCGGTTCCAACTGGGTGTTCGACCATGTTTTCGTACCCGGCACTGGATTTCTCCGTGTCCGCATCAATTGCGCATCTTAAACATTTGCTCCTACTTTAGGAAAGTGACCGCAAAGTGTCATTCGCCACAGTGTCAGTGCGCTTCGCTTATTCCGAGCTTGCTTTGAAACTGTCTTGGCGATACTGAAAACAGAACCGAACTGTCGCTCCGATATGGCCGTGTCGCATTTGATGCCCAGAAGATTCTGACACTAGTGGTAGTCTGCAGCACTATATCAACAAGTTGTTCAATCTTGTTTAGTAGCGTTGTCATGACTTCACTTCCTAAACGTAACTGGAGGCCGCATATAAAAATTGGACACTTAAACTTGTCTTCTATCATGCTATATAATTTGACTCGTTCACACACCAAGTTAACTCCACCTGCATAAAGTATGAAGTTTTTTCACTTCCTTTTCATCATTATCATATACTAATATCGAAGACCGAAAATACAACATTCATTGAAAATGGCTAAGAGCTGCTACTGAAAGAGCAGCTCATAGCCCGCGTTTTGTTTTGTAGGAATGAAGCTGGAGTGGCATGTGTGTTCCGCTGCACCCAATTCCCCGAGCAAGGGAATTATGAACCAAGCATCATGTTCGTACTTTGGTTCGACTTTTAAAGTATTTTCGTAACGTTTGAACCACACATCGGGAGTAGGACTAGCACCAAGTTCACAATGGGACTCCGTGATTCCATCAGCGATTGAGTCAATGGAATTTGGTTGACGAATTGTGATTTGCCGCATCATGGTTCCCATAAACTGCATCCGTGAGATTAGGAAACTATGTGAGTTGATGGAACGAAGGAAGTTGGCGACGGGTAATGAGAGCCGCATAGGACCATCAGATTTTTGGACCAGTAGGATCTTACCTGCATACTTTGTAGTCTACAAAAACAACACGGGTTCAACGCTCCACTCATCGTGCTCTGCCCCTGGACTATCAAGCCGCAACGAGATCAGAGATAGACAAATCTCAGTGCAACATTGAACTATCCCCTACGTTGCCACACGGTTTCCACGGACGGGGCATCCTTAAGGATGTACACTTTGACACCTTGCTGACTCTGCTTCCAGATGAGTTCAAAGTGGTATTCAATCTTCGAATAGATGAATTGCTCGGCTGCAACACCCTTTCGGTGCCTAGCTGCCACGTTACTAGAAGAAAACACGAGAGTCTAGATATTAGCAGGTTGCCTAAGCCTAGACAGGAGCAGTTGAGATACCAGCTTTGACCAATAAACTAACCTGAGCTCGAGTTCAGGATTTGGAATTCCTCCCAGTAGTAGCTAGACGGGAGGGGGGAATAAGGTATATGCAAACTGAATGAATATAAAAACGGACCTTCCTTTTAAATTCACGGCCACGTCAGTGTCTTGAGCACAATGCTGTTAGTCTCCCAGAGAATTCGATTGTCAGATGTTCCCGAACACAGACCCTTTCGAAAGCGTGAGGAGTATGACTAGGAGGCCCGCAAGCAGCTTGGACAAATTCTTCCATATCGTGGACGCAGTACGCGTGAATGTATGGGTCGGGGTGCGGGGGGCAAAATTATTAAGAATTTAATATACCTATGCAGAACTAGTTGACAGCCATGCCGCTTCGGAATGTGCTTAGAACGCCGTATAGGGTGCTGGATGAGAAAACACAGTTAAACCAGTCCGAACTAAATGCGAATAGGGTAGACATCAAGCTACCGTGGGTGATAGGTAAAGAAGGTTTGAATGTAGTAAGCCGAAACAGAAAAAAAGACAGGCGGTGTAACGGACAAGACTAGACAGAACTCTTAATCTGACAAAAAGAAAATTCAGGAAACTAGAGTAATGTCTACCTCCTGAGGGCTTTCGGTGACAATACGTTTGAGTATAAGATAATAATGCAGGGCCAAGGACAGTGTTGATGCGGGTGGTGTAGCTGAACGCAAAAAAATGAAGAACGCACGTATTCTATGGTGTGATGCTGGTTAGCCAGATAGTGGGTCGCATTGACAAGCCAGCCACAAAGTCAGTACAATGAAAACACACATCAAACGGATAGAATAACGATACGGGTAGGTGTGTATGCATTGAACCAACAAACCTCATGACTGCTCGACTCGAAGTCTTCCTCTTCCTCATCGTCTTCTGAGTCCACCAAACTGCTATCCCCGGTCCCACCACTATGCTTGGACCAAGACGATGCGACTTTCTGTGTGTCTGACGAGGAGGAGGTTGAGCTTAGCTTTTTCTCCGGCACAACTGAGGTAAGGCGGGAACTCCCTCGACCAGAGTCGGAGAAACCGGCCCCGGCGCTAGTAGCCTCTGTACTACCATACAGAGAAGAGCTAAACGATTGAGCCGAGGAGGTATCACCTATCTGTTGGGATCGACATGCTGGGCCACCGCAAGGTGAAAGGTGTTGCTCATTCGCTGGAGACAAACCGATGGACCTTTTGCCACGTCCTGGAGACAGCGTCAAAGAAGTATTGTTTTGTGATGGCTGTGCATTGTTTGTCGCTGGAACAGGTTCCATTTGATTGTGGCGCAGAACAGTGTCACTACTTGTCGAGGTTGAACTGGTAGTTCCAATCGAAAGCTATTTTAAAGGAGTGCGAGAGCGCAAAGCAGGAAAAATATGTTCCAGTTAGCGAAACCAATAACCAGGAACCAAAAATGATTTCTCCAGCAGCAAAAACTTAAGTGGGAGCATACTGGGCAACAACTTCTGTTCAGGAGGTCTCAAGCGTCCAGGTACAACCTGTCTGGAAGGCTGGCCAATCGGCCGGCACAACCAAGACAGTTACTGAGGCATCGGGCAAATCAATCACCATTCTCGACCGCGCACACGTTCGTCTGTCCGGGTATGATTATACAGGAGTTCAACCCCCGGTAGGGCCAGGGATACGCACTGCTGACAATGTCTAATAAGAAATAAATTAGAGTCCAGTGCTTTCTCCCCCTTTTAGAGCAAGCTCACCGAAAAAAATTACGCCAGGACAAGAGGAGGGTTGTTCAAACGAGAATTATGTGAACGTGACCCGTTTAAATGGCTGTCTGAATAAACAGATACAATGAATGACCCATCCAAGCTTCATAGAAGACACTCCGCAAGGCCCATCGAAGCGCGCCAGAACTACATCCAAACGGGTTTGCAATAAGGTGTGACTATACCACTAGACAGTGTGCTCACTGAATGGGAGACAACCGAACGGCCTAAGTTCATAGGTTCATCCGTTCCGGTTGAGATTAATTACGATTCAGCAAAAGTGTGTCCTGAAACGAGTAGCACCGGATTAGAAATGAATGAAACGAACATTGTGAACCGGGATTCTGCGATGGTGTTCGCAGAGTGATGCGTGATTGTCTATCGGTCAGGTAGATACTATCCACAATAACATTTTGTGAGCGCAATGAGTGCAACTAGTGCAATTTTCATCTCGAAAAATCGATAATTTGCAGATGAATGGACAAATCAGATTCCAGCTTACAAAATAGTCAGGAGGGAAAAATTGACGCTAAATAGGAAAAATGACCACGATAACACTGTAAGACCCGTATTGGCCAACAGTCAACAGGAAGCTGGCTCTTTGTGCAGGAACAACATAAATCCAACAAGAATTCCATCAAGAGTAGAATAAAAAACACGAAATTTTACCCGTCGTGCACTGTCCTACGTAGGTCTGTATTCCCACTTGTTCGATACATTCCAGCCCAGAGAAGAGCCACCTCAGAGGACGAGTTTTCTCAGCCTCCATTTTTAACTAATGAACCACCCATTGAGGGAACATTCTAGCCGGGAGAAGGTGCTTTTCCAGTATCCCGACACAACAGCAGTAACAACTCTCTTTGATTTTCTCATCCTTTGATGTGCCTGGTACACAGAATTGAGCACGATAAGTGAAGTTAACGCCCCAATACCGATACGTCGAGTCCTCTTTAGCGGTAGTACCTTTGGATTCCGTATCGATTCCTCCGGGCTCGTTTCCACCAGTTGACAGCCAGGCTGGTGGATTCGGTTGGTGATGTCCCGTCCCTTAAAGAAAGTAGTGGCTTTCAAAGCAATCGAAGGCGATGCTGTAACAAAGCGGTTCCACTAAAATAAACACGGTGCATGTAGTATATATCCATCCCTGTCCAACATTGTTTCACCTGAAGAGTCAAGGTCGCAGTTTTCAGTACCGTTGGTGTGTTTGTACAGAAACATGTACGGTCCTCTAATTAGAAGCACCGATGTCTCCGGTGCAGGCGGAACAGAGAGATTCCGTCTTTTTGTTGGAACAGTCCTTTTTCGGAGCTGAACAATTTCTTGAGGTGCGGGCAGCATGATACGTGCACAAGTTGCTTTTTGGTCGACCATTCTCCCGAGTAAGGTCCCAAAAGGCGGCTTAACGGTTAAAAATTGACAATGGAGGAACTCGTCTTCCTCTAATGTGACGATTCTTCTCCAAGCTGAAACGCCTCGAACGTGCAGACTAAATTAACGACGAGTCTACCGCTCAGTCAGGATAAGTTGGACCATTTCAATGTGTGTTGTTCAGGACTAACGCTTGCAACTATCTGAACCATAGCAACAGCGTAGCCGAGAAACCCTCCTACTTATCACAAGGAAGCACTCCGCCAACGTATCAATCCCTGGTGCTAAGCGACCACCAGCAGATAACGCCAGTCGAATGCAAATCACAGATACCAATGAGCTAGACAATAATGTGACCAGTAGGATGACATCAGACAGTTTTAACTGCCAAATGACTGACTTAGACCTTGACAAACAATTCACGTGAATATCTGTCCCGATTTGCAGGCTAAATAACACGCGGCACCAAAAGGTCCTCATTACCAGCGACAGCATGAAATCAGTGTTCAACACCGATGCTCCACTGCCGTACAACAATGATTAAGTTGAAATCCTTACTGTGAAGAAACGAATAAAGGTGGACGGGTAAAGGGACTTAGTGCTAGTTTATTACAATCACTTCAAGGTGCCTACATCCTTAGACACTCATTCAGGCGATCTGGATAGAAACTGACAACAAGAAAGCCACTGGTATCGGTTGGCAGTCACATCTTGTAGTGTCTCCAATCAGGCGCAGTGGTCCCCATCCTGGAAGCCGAGTGACGCTGACAACACCCAAACGTTTCGTAATCTCTTTCACAGCACTCTGCAAGCTCAAGAGTTAGACATCTCTGCTTCCTCCACTCTGAAATGGGCATGGAAAACAGCAGTCTCTTCGGCAAACGATGGTTCGGCATAAGCAACACATGTCCCAACCAACGCAGCTTCTGGTGCTGGACAAATTTTCAATGGAAGCATCCGTTGCACAAACAAAAACTCGCTTCTTAACTGCCTCGTTAGAGATTTGCTAACACCAACCCACACGAGCAATGGTTCTGAGAAAACGATTGTCGAACATCTGAAGACCTCTCGGTTCCACTCCTCGAACAGGCCAAGTTTCACAGCCATGCAACGAAACAGCCCGCACTGTAACTTGATACAAACATCCCTTGAGATCCTGAGATATATCACTGACGCCATAGGTGTCCCAAATTAGTAGACGCGACCCGAGCCTTGGAGATTTGTGCACTGACCACATGTCGCACTACAATTGGAACTGATACAACTTCCAAGATAGGTAAAAAAAACTTCGAGTGCCCTCTCCCTCGATTGTAATTAGCGTGTTCAGTGACCGCATGTCCACGAGCATGAATCTACACTTTCTGAGTGCAAAGTGTATACCATAGGATAGGATGACTTTGATCAATTGATCCAAGAGCACATGTGCCTTCTCGTCTTCGAAGACAGAAGCGATGTCGTCCGCATATTCCAGATCGACAAGGTTTCCGTCACAGGCTATTTGAAAGCCGGGGTTTTAAAGACGTTCCAGTGTTGGTCTCATGATTTCATCGATCACGAAGAAATCAAAGGTATTACCAATAATTGGAAATCCAAATCCAGCAGGACCTGTTTTCCCACTATAGAGAATCAAGAATAGGGTTCCAAGGCCTATGGGACAAGCAACACTATATGTGGCGATGAGCCGTTCCAAAAAGTAGCATACAGAGGACATTTATCGCGAAATCACAAGAACAGGTGCGGCGACGTTCGTCAAAAGCAAGCAAAAAAGATTGTGAATTCGAGGTTGCAAACAACTAGTGAAGTTGGGAATCAGGGCAGGAAGGCTGTGCTAGAATGTCCGTTTTCAAAGTGGTTGAACTCGAGATAGCTCACTGGTTAAAGCGCGAACTTGCTGACCGGAAGGTCCTTAGTTCGAGCCCAACACGGGCACCCCACTGCTTACTTATGCGCAAAGTTGAGTAAAGTGGTCGCAGCATGAAAGATGGCTGGATTTGGGCACAATGAATAAAAATTTACACTAGCAGCGAAGAGTAGATGGGCAAAGATCGAAAATGTGGAAGGCGGTAGATACAGAACCCAATCCTTTAGGTGAGAATTCGGGAGTTCCCACGTAAAAAGCGACAATCTTCAAAGTAAACAATCATCATCTGTGTTAACGTCAGGGTGACTGCAAGGGGTGCAGAGGATTGCTGATAAACTCTCATGTGTTCAAGACCAAAATATGTACAGGAAAGGTGGGAACAGAAATTCTAATCTACAGGGAAACCAATTATGTTGATTTTGGTGACATGGGGCAGCACAAGAAAGTACGGGTCGACTCACACGACGTTTGTGACCCATGACAGCCTGATATTGAAAATCAGTGAGTAGTCCCGGACACCGATCCGATTCGGGGTAGTCTATCTACAAAATGAAAAAAGTGCTGAAAGATTATCACGTCCTCGTGAGAACGAATTACATTTATTCACAGCAAACTGTTTGAGTCAGATGATACAAGACAATCATGTAAAACATCCTGTCGAGCAAATTAAGCCTGCATGGGATGTGGAACAGAAGACAGGTCACCAGATAAGCTCACCACGGTCGATATAGGGAACTTTCAATACAAACAATAGCTAGGGAATTTAGCGCTCTATCTGTTTTAATTAAGTAAGTTATTTCTGAATATCACTGGAGCGATGGAGTAGTCCCATATTGTGACGAACGAGTCAATGTGATCGATACGATATACATCGCGGGGAGTAACTCCGCATGGTATCGGCGCCAGGCTACGTTCCACGAACGAGGATGTGCACTTCCGGACCGTCAAATTTAAGCCGGGTTAAGTCGAGTTTTTTGCAGTAAACTGAATTATCCGTATACAAAATTAACAAAGGCATCAAATATGAACTTTAAACCTTTAAAAACCGCCTGAAATTTCCATCAAGGGCCTTGCAAAAGTGGGGCAACATGACGTCGTCATGCAGGACAGTGGGTTTAGCCAGAAAACGAGCCAAGTGGAAGATCACATAATTACGGCAAGTCATTGCGGGTAGGCGTTTCTACTTGGAATGAGCAAGTGAGATAGATGTGATATACGTGTATCGCAATACCTCGAATATCGTCGCGACTGAAACATGAGGCGGTCTGGTGTAGCACATTCAGTTGCCTGAGAACATCACAAACGAAAGGTTCAGCTGGGTTCCGGGTGAGTCTCTCGAGAAACCAAATTAGTTTGCAAATGAGTGTATATTCGCTAAGGAAAATGTGACCTTAATGAGTTACTAGTAAAGAGGGTGGAATGTATCGGAAAGAGTTTGTCCGATAAAATTGGGGCAAACGTCAAACTGCTTTTTTATTACAAGGTAAGCGACGACATTGCTTAACATTTTACACAACATTTAGAAAGGTGTTTTGACAACCTGACAACAACACAGCAACCTATCACAGGGAAATCTGAGAAGAGGATGGGGAAACAGTAAATTCAGCAGGGGAGAATGCTAAGATCGGAAGNGAGACTGAGGGAAAGAGAATGTTCTCAGCCATGAGATGATAGACGTAGCACTCTATTAAAGATTGCTTGGATATGAGGGACCGATTAAAGTTACGCGATAACGTCACACCCAGGTAAAAGTTCTGGGTCGTGGAAACAATGAACACGAGGGCTTGATGGCTACTGAAGAGGTCATTGTAACGTTGACCAGAGATGAGAGGAAAGACAAATTCCTGGCATTCCGGGACATTCGGGGTGAGACAGCGCTCACCCGAATAGCGAACAACTGCATTCGATACAGTTTATAGTTGCAGATTTGTTTCCGACACGCACTGGCACCAACCAATTACCATAGCACCAGCGTCATTGCGGTGGGTGAGAAAATCAGGGGTGGACACGCCTCGTACACACTTGTTTAGATAGCCTCGAAAGGAAAGAGGTATAAGCGGTTGGCCAAAAACGTTGCTCTTCGGTAACAGTGTTGTTTTAGCCACAAGCCAGAAGAATTTCCAGTGGAACGACAATGAGGATAGCAACACACTCATTGAACAACAAAGACGATAGATGATCGAAACCACAAATTCTACTCATTTTCCGCATGTTCCTATGCAATTCCCCCGATGTTTTCCTACCCGTAACGACCAGCTTTCATTGGTGACAGTGGATTTAATGGATTGGTTTGGCAGGCCTACAGATTCGAGGAGTTCGTCGAGGTAGATGTCAGAATTCAACGTCTAATTGTTAACCCCACAGCTGCTTCAGGGCCGGCTGTTACATTTCACGTCAGCTTTCTTGCAAGAAGCAGCAGTGACAAGTCTTACTGAAGCGATTGGTCCTCAGCAGCTGGCTCGGGTAACTCTTCGGGCTTCGTGCTTCTGTTTCTCCTGCGGCCGCGTAAGTACATGGAGAAGTGAACTTGTCAGTGCTTATGTGAGTAACATAAGTCACAGCAAAGAATGAGTTATTCCTTCAGCTGCTGGAGGACCGGGGTTAGAGGACACATGAAGACCAGTGGTGGAAGCCGTGTTCATGGGTAGTACGATAGTAACTGATGAGTAACACCATCCTTTTAGATTGGGTCAAGTTTTCCGTACATTGGTCCAATGGTTTTTCATGCAGTACACATCAGCTGACAGACATTAAATAAAATGACCGGAAGAGTTAACTAGGATCCCGCCTAAGGGAAGTGACACTGATTACAAACAAGTTGTCCAGACGGGCTTCCGGCTGTAGGGGAAAATTCACAATTGTGGCTAAACCAAAGGAAGCCAGGTAAAAACAGTCAAAAGTGTATAACCGCCGGAAATTAGAAAAAACCGATTAATATAAGCTTTGGAGGCGACGGAAAGCGAATCAGTAAGGTCAGACAGTTCTGAAATTAAGATACGCACACATAAGTGTGTGAAGGCAATCGATTGGTATTCACTTCAGAGGGGAGGCTTGCGTTCTAGGTATAAGCAACCGACACACTGCGCAGAAAGTTCGCATCGATCAATTTCCTCTCACACACGTCAAGACATTACCTCTGTTATTAGAGTCGACAGGACAGTTAACATAAGACAAATCATAGCCCTGCAGGTAGATGGAACTCGAGTTGGTTTCGTTGTTAAGGTGTGAACTTATTGACCGGGAGGTCGTGGTTCGAACCCAACCTCAGCATCTCGACTGCTCCTGTCTAGGCTCAGACAACTTGACAGTATCTCAGCCCTCGCGCTTGTTTCGGGTGGCATGGAAGCTGGGCATTGAAAGGGTGTAACAGCTGAAGGATCCCTTTTGGGAAAGGTGGATGGTATGATCATCCAAATCCGCGTTCGGCTAGCTGTCTTGAAGCATTACAACACCATCGGTTCTGTATGCTTTCCAGGACAAAAGTTCAAACAAGTGTCCCAGCAAACAACATTAGAGAGGACCACAGGAACTTTCCAGGACAAAAGTTCAACAGCAAACAACATTAGAGAGGACCACAGGAAACTGCATTTTCCGTGGAACTTTACGCCTAAGTGCAACCATCCAACCAGCAAGGCGCTTCTTGTTCCGACCAATATGCTCGTAAAAATGCACATTTTCAATTACCTCTCGCACCGCCACTGAATTCCTTCTACAGATATGCGGAAAAAGAAAGGTTTCGTGGACGAGTACTGTGACCTTGAAAACAATATCGTCAAGCATAGTCCGAATAAGGCGGAGTATGAGCTGACGCGCATCAAGCGTGTAGAAAATAAACTCCAAAGTTAGAGACCACGTCCGATTTGAAGGCCTCGCTGAAAAGCTTTCACAACATATATCCTCACACTGCCATATGAACGTCAAAGGTTCGCAACGGATAGCACCAGTTAACCATTGAGACAGATATGATTGATTAATACCTAAGTAACCACTACCGAACTTTCTTCCAAAAGGAATTTCTCCCTTCGACATCGTTCACTATGGACCAAGTGACATTCCGCACCTGTGCATGTGGTCAGCTCAACTAGGAATTGATGAAAGGTCGGAAAACTGGCATAACATTTTACATAAACGACTTCATTTCTAGCGAGCAGGTTTAGTAACAATACAACAGCTGAGAACTCACTACAACCAAGTCCGATGGTTCCAGTACCACGCATCCACTTTGTCGAAACGTAGCTCCATTTATGCGAGTACCGAAGCTGAAATGACAGTGATTTCGGCAAGCGTTAGGCAGGAGTGGAGAATTGTACAAGAACAGCCCGAAACTGGCCGCTTCATCACAAAAACTACTGGTTTTGCATCTTCTCTAACTAAACTGACCGGCTCAAGGAGTGCGAAGATAAACAAATAAACACTAAAAGGAGATAATTAACGTGACCAACGAATGTAAGAAAGCAAGCTCTTTGATTGCAAAATCCATCTGAACCTTGCCTCATTTAGATGCAAAAAACTGTTCGTTTATAACGGTCGGTTTAACGAGTAACATTCAAGAAACAGAAGGGGCGCTCAGTTTCTTTGTACTGCGGAAGCAGTAACTCCGAAAACTTTAAAACTGTCCTCAGTGGAGAATAAATTTCCAAATGTTTGCTCGAGAGAGGAATAAGTATAGTTACTGTATAATTTGGAGAGACTGTATTCTCATGAAAAGCTTTCTATAATGTACTTATTCCATCAAAAGCGTTCAGAGTCATATGAGTGGGTTACAACTACCTACGCGTCGTTAATCAACATCAGACGAGATCCAGTAGGAGACAGGGCGTATCGTAACGTCTAGTCCTGTTAAGCTTTTCCGTCAGTCGGGCCTTGGAAAGTCGGATTTTACACTTCAATTTTTGCCGGTATAGTGGTGTCCTCCCTGGCCGGAAAAACACCTACGGGGAGGAAACTTCTGCTGTTCGGGTTCTTCTGAATTCCGATTCCATTTGATGATGTAACCCACCAGAAATAATCATTTCTAGTGAGTGCACTGGCTGCTTTGCATCCAACTCTCTGTGAGAGAAAGACCTATGACGGAAATGCCGTTTTCAAAGACCGAAAATCATGAGAAGACGATCAATTTGACCCGTTCTGCCTATACGCGATTTTGAGACACCGGCAAACTTTTCTTTCGGCCGAATAAAGGAATTCACTTCATCCTGAAGAGCTGTTTCAGATGTCCACAAACAAATGAGTGCAGGTTTACCGCATCGAAAACGCTTTGACGACGCTTCCTCATGAGAGGGGTGCTACCCATCAAAATTGAGGAGAATAGGAGTTGACACTGTGAACTAGGGGTAACTACAGATTTCCTGGAACGACAGGCAGAGTTCCAAACAATTTAGAAACATAAGACAGGCAACGAAATTGCCTACGTCTCCATTGCAGGTTACACAGTGATGTCGAATCACAATACCTATACGCAACCTACAAATCGTCAGGCGATACTACAGAGCTGTTACATCACTACAGTTTTAGACGGAATCGTTCAACCTCATAGTCGAGATCCACGAGAACAAGGATAGGCATCTTATAGTTTTTTTTACCAACAGCTGTGATCAGTAGGTACGGTCAACCGTTTCGACACTCTGCGGGAAACAATATAATAACGAAGAATAGCTAACGCTATTTTTCAATGATGATCTAAGAAGTGGTACTGGAACGGTCAGGGGAGGATAAACGAACTAAAGCCAGCGCCGCTGGAGAAATTCAGGTCAAGGTTAGATGAGAAAAACACAAAGTTACGTGCTTACCAGGCACGGGGAAGGAACATGGAAGAATCTATCAGGACAGATCCGGTCAAAAGAATAAACCAGCAATCTGAATAATCACCAGCCTGATAGAGGGTCACTTCCCCCGGGACGTGTTGATGTCTTGCTACCCGACAGATGGCGCGAAGCTCTGCATCTCTGTGAGCCGAAGTCGGGCCTGGAATGTTGAGACCTTCAATAGTACGCAAGTACGCATGCAGGTAAACGATGTCCTGTTAGCAGAGGAAACGGTTAGAAAAAAGGTAGCAAAGGGGTTTGGGTGTAAAGTGCTGTCCATAGTGCGTGTCACAAATAAGCGCTGCTAATTAGAAGGATGATGATGCGCATGTGTGCGGCGACGAGATGATAGCATGTGTTAGTAAGGAACGGTGCATCTTGCATTGACTTCCGAAATGCACCAAACACTCACCAAGGACTCCAAGACTTTGTACACGAGAAACCAAGTTGAAAAGTAGCTACGGGTTTCGTTGAGTTTATATCCACGGTCTCACTTGTCCCTATACGAATATCCTGGTTAGTCAGTACCAAATCGACAGAAAATCCTAGTTTCTTTTAAAGCAATGATGCGTATTGACAAACACATCAGGGTTTGAGGCCTTAGGGACCTAATACGCGAGATGAACGCATTTACTGAACTAAGAAAGACCGAGACCTATCAACATCATTGGCATCTGCGTCTTTGGTGCGGACTAGTGAGAGTAGTCCCGCTAAAATAGGAACAATATTCAAAAAAAGTGATGGCAGACCAGCTTGTTCATATATACTTGAACTAATTCATGGCACATTCTCAACAGCCCACAATCCCCTGCTTCATGAACTATCATATTTCCTTCCGATCTGTAGACTGAGAATTACTGTGGAATATTAAGCAGGCAGATGGTCTTCGACCAGTGGCCTAAGACGAAGACCCGGAGATGAACGCATTTACTGAACTAAGAAAGACCGAGACCTATCAACATCATTGGCATCTGCGTCTTTGGTGCGGACTAGTGAGAGTAGTCCCGCTAAAATAGGAACAATATTCAAAAAAAGTGATGGCAGACCAGCTTGTTCGTAGGCTGGCTAAATCAGATGCGGGTAACAATAAGGGTCGGGTTTTTGGTAACAAGATCAATTCCACGGGCAAAATGAACCAAGAGGAGTAATGTTACTGACTACTGAGGCTACTGATTAGTGGTCAGTAAAGTTAACGGGAAATCTACCCTCTATTTACGTGCGCCACGGGTTGAAAAAGAGCCAGAAAAGCGATGTCACCGTAGTGTGTCGAATCCTCGAACCCATTAGTAGTCCAACACAGACGAAATGAACGGACGTACACGGCTACCCGTCACATATACTTGAACTAATTCATGGCACATTCNGCTTGTTCATATATACTTGAACTAATTCATGGCACATTCTCAACAGCCCACAATCCCCTGCTTCATGAACTATCATATTTCCTTCCGATCTGTAGACTGAGAATTACTGTGGAATATTAAGCAGGCAGATGGTCTTCGACCAGTGGCCTAAGACGAAGACCCGTGAAATAAGTGTGGACGTCGGCATATATGCACACTATCTCCAGTGCCCTAAATTATCGAATCATTACCTAGCACTGGTTGACAACACCTGAAACCAAGAGTATAGATATCCAAACCTCTGATCTCGAGCATGCTGACGACACAGCTGCGTCTGGCGACCACCACACCGACTTGCAACGGTAACTCAACCGCATCGATAAGTTTATCGTCTTAATTGGACTGAAAACTGCTGTCACGAAAACCGGACTTTTCTGAGCACGCGCAGACTCCATTTATCAACCAATGTAAATGTGGAGAGAGTCGATCGATAAATTCCTTACCTCCAACAATGTTTCGAAAAAGTTTACCCATACGGCGACCGTACTACAATTGTGAAACCTGCCAAAGGGCTGCCATTCGTCTGGTTCTCCTCTGTGGTTGTCAGACCTGACTATTGAAAGCCGAGGATCTGGATCTCATCAAAGTTTACCTAAGTCGCACAGACATTGCTTGTACTTGATTTAGACAACGGGCTGCTGACCAGTATATACCTTGCCAAACTGTACAAGAGCAATAACTAGCTGGCGCATCTGTTCGTGGTAAAGCGAAATACCTCGTTGCAAAACTGTTTACAAGACCCGAGGACAGCTATCTTCCACTTTACCGGTGCGGAAGACGTCCGATATAGCTCTTATAAACTTCTCCAGTCATTTCCCCCTTCCCCGGGGAAAAATCGCCGTCGAAGAAACGTTTTGATATGTCTTTGAGGTGAGAAAAACTGCACTGTTGTTTTAACATCCCGAAAATGAGCAGTAGGTAGATACATGAGAAGAATTAAAACAACAGTCGGTGAAGAATTCGCCCATAATACACGATGTGAGAACTACAAGTTGTGAAAAGAAAGCAAGATGGTGGGACAGGTAGTGATGCAGGTGGGAAGGTAAGTAAGGAGTTAGGAGAGGAGCTTTGTTAACGAGCTGATTTTAAACTGTATGCGGAAGAGGATAGCAGCGAGGGGTTGAGTGACGCAGTAGCCCAAGACAGATGCGAATTGTGCTTCACAGGTTACAGTAGCCCCACAAACGAATCCATCCAGAGAGAGACAGATTGCTTCAAAAAATTCACTTCATTCAAAGGAAGGTCAAGCAGTCCCTCTCTTTTACAGGAGGATTACGACGTCATGTTGTACGGTAGCAAGATACCGGCTTTCAACACCAATGTCGTCAATAATGAGGAAGAAGCGGGCATAACACGTCTACCCGTACAACCTTGCAAAATGTGTCCTGGACATCGGAATGGATAATTTATCAAAAGTCGCCAGTTTGATGAGTCACCTAGGCGTGTTTGTGCGCTGCGGGCGTGTGAAAGAGAGGTCATAGAGAAACGACAGCAATGGTGTGTGAGGAGAGGTCATAGAAAAACGACAGCAATCAAAACAACCCGCTGAGCGTGATGAGCCAGGTAATTGATGGTGTTAATTTGGAGTAGCCATCCGATTGGAAGGGAGCCTGATTTCAAGGAGAGGCGACATACCAGAGGTCTAAAAAGCGAGGAAGGTAACGTGTGAAAATTGAACCTTTAGGAAAGGAAGAAATGATGACCGTGCATGCGCGCACAGTCAGTAAACTCGTAGTCTTCTATCGGGACGAGGCCAACAAAAATAGATTCAAAAGACCACTTGTAGCTTTAGTTCACCTGATAAGACAAACGCATCTTGCCTAGTCAAACGGCCTTCTGATATGATCGAGACAGTGCAACAAGTTTGGTTGTATTGAACCTTCATTTAAGTGTTCTCTGAACGTTTTGCCAAGTACCATACAACGTAGTTCGAATCGAAACTACAGTAGCCAAACGAGCCCAATGCTGATTGCGGGCAACTAATTGTTTTCCACGTCTACTAAACGGACATGTTTCGCACTTAAACGGAAACAGCACTCACACTGCGGCATTGTGCGTTCCGCCTTTCAAAGACTGGCTTCTAGAACGTCATCCCCGTTCGAAAGAAACCAGATACAGGCCTTTTTCAACTCAAGCAAAACTCCCAGTGGAAGTCATACATAGGGGTGGATAGTGTATCCATCAGATCTAGAGGCCGGGCCTTTCAGTTTGAGGGCACAAACGAATCTCCGAACCAGTGTTTACATGGACTAAACTGAACTACCCTCCGAACCATGTTTACATGGACTAAACTGAACTACCGAACGCAGTTGTACAGTAGCATCCATGTGCTTCAACTCGACTCCAGCGTTACCCAACAATTCAAGTGATTCCTCCAATACCACTCTAATCAGGAAGGTTGATAAGACGAGAGAGATCTGCAGACTTTTCGTGAACAATTACGCGCCACAGGCGTTGGGGTGCAGTGGGCGGATAACTGTGAATATTTCCGGAATTTCATTCCGTCAATCAGTGTCAGTATATTCGAACGCTGATTGCATATGAAAAATGAGGAGGACAGATGCCCTGGTCCATTTCTGAGAACGAGAAACCAATATCTGATGTGTTCTTCATAAGCCGCGCATCAAACATGTAGTGTCACATGACAACGGTATAATCTACACAGCTCAGTAGCCTAACCAACGAACATTGCTACAGTCTGAGCTGTCAACATTTCCCACAATAGTACACCAAACCAAATGCTGACTAACGATCGTGAGTCCGACTGAAGTGACCTGAGGCAACCAGCTGGTAGTTCGAATACACTAGGCGGAACTAAATTGCTGTTGTCTTCAACCGCGCAGTATCGGGTGTGCGTATCGAGGGCTCGGAATTATCCAATACTGCTAATTCTCCAGTTCCATTCTTTCACATCTGCACTGAAGACTTGATGCGTACGAATGGTTCAAAGCACTTTTCAAAGGGTTACCAATTTGGGTCGGGGATACATTGGCGAGAGCTTGCTGCGACAGGCTGATTCGGGTAGAGACAACAGCCCATCGTGTCAGAGAAAATGCCAGAACAGTGAGCGAAATACACGCACACAAAACGGGTAGGAAGTTATTCTGAAAACTTGTCGCCTCAAGTAGCCTCGAGTCTCAAGCAACTTGTCTACGCATTAGGCGAAACGAACCACATAAGTGCGCATCGCTGAGGACTGGTACTACTCAAACTTATGTGACAGATACAACAACAGTGATATGGGGTCCCAAACCAGAGTTAAACGGGGACTTTATACACAGAACTGGGGAAACACGACCAGTTTATCAAGCGTCGCCGCCCTCCAAGGCGGATGAGCTTGCATGTGAGGAAAGAACTGGTGATGAATGGAAGCTAGGATTGATTGCAACGTACCGCTGACGTTCGATTTTGGGCAGGGATAGAGAGCAGGCGAATCACCGTGCTCACTTGTTCATCCATAGTGCCGTTTCACGTCGATTCGGCTGCAAGAGAAAAAACAAAAATGTGCGACAGCGATAGAAGGACGGAAGATAGTCCAAACAAACCACAAAAAGCTGTAGACTTCATATGAAAGAGCAGGTCCTGGGTGGTTGGAGTTGTTTACCCAAATAACGTAGGAACGGCAAGCAATCCGTCATTCGCAGTTGCGTGTCAATTTCTGAAACAATTCAGAAGTGAGAAAAAACTTTCTGAACTCGGAAAAAGCAGAATAACTGAAAACAACCTGCAAGGTACCAGATAAATCGTGCAGCCAAATGGTGCACAGTGAAAAACGGATTTGTTTATCCTGAAACCCAGTCATCTAGCGATCAGAGACTCAGCGGTAGTTCTGCAAGACGTTCTGCATTCAGTACAATTTTTGTGTACAGCAAGGGACATATAACCAACGAAAAACTTTTAGTAGCAGTCAGCACGCGGTCTGAATTCCGAAGTCCACATGAATCAGGTTTGCGCATTAGCTTCAGGACATCCAAGTTAACTCGAGCAGCTTTAAATACACTTTACAGTAAAACAGAGCACTTAGAGTATCGGAAAATTGTGCCTTACCCTTGTATTCGGTGAAAAATCAATTAGATCAAACGCGCAGAGTAGCTCAGCTCCGTGGCAGCGCAATCACCTTTACGTAACGACAGTTGGCGAAGATATCGAGTGATGCACTTGCAATGACCCCCAAAACTGCTTATATCTATCTTTGATGTACCCTTCGTGTTTCACTAATTCCGTGTCTGCATAGACGTTATATATCGATCAGTCAATGGACCCGGTTCACTTTCGCTTTTCTAGTCTCTCTGAGACCTGCATTCTCGGTTACTTGACTTCGGTTCTGGTCACCTACAATAAAGTGATTGATGTTCCTAAAAGAATCGAATTGAAGTACTACACTACTGAGCTGGCCCAAAGTTACCCAAAGATGAAACACAAGCCCGTGAAAATCAGACGGAAATATTTTTAGGGGGCAACAGAGATCGAAATACTGTGCAACAAGCGCAGAAAACGCACTAAACCGATTGGCATACGAACGAACAATTAGCAGAACGCAATGGACGGTTTAAAAGCACATATCACACCAACTCAGAAGACAAGCAGTCTAAAGGTTACTATGCTCCGTGAATAGTGTTAACAAGCGACCCTTAGGGTGTCACGCGGGCTCGTCAACCTCTGGTAGTCGCGAGCTTCTGTTGTGGTGAGTGGGAAGAATAGCATTATTACATACAAACGGAATGTGGTGTCGGAATCAGCCATGATGGTCATCGACCTTGAGCCAATGTAGCGAAGTGGTTCGAAAAGATTTCCTGCTGTTCCCTATCAAAAAAATACTAGACACCTAAGGTCCATGGATTAAGGTCTTTTTCTTCCTGATGCGCATTTGTTCTCACCGTAAACTGTAACCATCCAGCAGCAACACCTTTTCGGTACCTAAGTGCCACGTCTAGACAGGGGCGCGGGAGTTACGGCGGTGGGCTCGAACGATGGACCTTCCGGTAAGTAGGCTCGCGTTTTAACCACTGAGACATCTGGAGCTCACTGTATTTTCTCTTCATTACGATCAGTGCCAATGACGATTACTTACGGTAAACTTCGTATACAGTGACAAAGCACTGGCTGGGGAATGCTCCGATTAACTAGCAACTTATTCCTGAGCACAGTGCTTCCCTCACTTTCATGCGCTGAGATTGTAATAATTTTCAAGTGCACAGAGATCCCCGAAGACACCGTATAAAAAAGGACAGGAATTAATCGGCCTGGAAAATGAGCTCGGATGGACGGAGTTTTCGCCGTGTTGCTTCTTGTCTTTGTTAATGCTTTGCACGAGACTCGTCAACCACACTGATTGGCGCACGCAGATGGCACAAAACTGTGGTAACAGCCCAGCAACCGGACAAACGCACTTAGTTGCATATTGGTGTTGAACGAGGCAACATTATGAGCGCAACTTTAGTGGAGATGTCTGAGTGCGAAAACAATAACAGTGGCCTCGAACACTAAAATCGACAACCCATACTTATTGAAGTTGAGCTGCGACCCGAGGGACGTTTGGAGCCATCCGGCGATGACTCACCGAGTCAAAGTAAACAGCGTTCAAAACACTACGACAAGGGTGCGGTCAGGCTTGAATAAAGTGCGCCTTGACTTATTCTTACGCTAAGGTTGAAATTAACGGGATTGAACGTGCACATTTGAACCAGTATATTTGACCACAACGGTAAATTGGTAAAAGGTAGTGGCATGCCTGCACTGAAACTTGTCCATCTACTCCTCTGGAAGATTAAACTTATGTGATTGGGGACTCATGGAGGGAATAGTCCCTTAAAACCATGCAGACATTTCTCAGGGGTGAGATGGCTTAGTGCATTTACCGACCGGAAGATCCGTGGTTCGAACCCGACTTTATCAGTATAGGCTTGGGCAACCTGGTAGTACCCTAGCCCTCATGCTTCCTTTGGGTGGCATACCAGATAGGCACCGAAAGTGTGTTACGACTGAACGATAGTCTATTCATCTTTTATAGATATTTCTCAGATAGACGTTTTTTGACCAGACATACGGATGAATGGGAAGGTGGGTTGTAAACCACCAGTTTCTGTTGAAAAAATTGGAAGTGCCTGATGTGGGAAAGAATGCGTTTGATCAGATGAGCAGCTTCGTGAAAAATATAGGGACGAAGGATAAGGTTGGCGGAGGTACATGAAAGTCAACTTTAGTTACCGTTGGAGTCTCGGATAGGTTGCGACAGAAAAGAGAGAAAACCAAAAACGTACGGGTCGCCACTGATCATCATCATCATCATCGACAGCATGACATCAGTGTTCAACACCGATGCTTCACTGCCGTACAACCATGACCTATTTGAAAGCCTTATTGTAAAGAAAAGATTGGACGGGGGTGGACTTAGTGCTAGCTTAACACAATCCCTCTGTTGTATGGAAAGATGGAAGCGCTCCTTTAGCCTTGAAGGGAGCGGTTGCAAGGAGGCACCCTGATATATACACACCTCTATACTGTGCCTCTGTTAACTTACAGCTGAAGTATTGTGTCCATACATGGGCTCCATAACTGAAGCAAAGGTAGTGGTCGACATAGTTCAATGGTTAATGCGCAAACTTACTGACCGTGATTAGAACCTAGCCTCGGCATCCCGACTGCTCCAGTCTAGGCTTAGGCAACCTGGAAGCGTTTCAGTAATCGTGCTTCTTTCGGTTGGCATGCCAGCTAGGCAACGATGGGATGGGGTTACAACTCAACGATTATGTTATTTCTTCATTTATACAGGTAAAGAGGGAAGTTGTTGGTATGAAGGGTGGGACATAAAGAGCGAATACATTGTCCTGAGCGTACACTACGCCCTTCTATTCTGTCTTCCTTCTAATCTCGTCCTGGAATTACTCGACTTTCGCGACAATTTAATCGTCTAATAAAGAAATGGATCATATTATCCAACCCATGGTTTTCGATGCTGATGGCCACTGAATGGACAATCAAACCATCTAGGCGGCATGTGCGGCTGTTGTTTGGAATAAAATAAAATAAAAAAAATCGTTCAGCTGTAGCACCCTTTCGGTGCCTAGCTGCTATGCCACCCGAAGGTTGCACGAAGGGCTGGGATACTGTCAGGTTGCCCAAGCCTAGACAAAAAACTTTACAATCGTTCGAAAAATATCGTGTATGCACGCCACCTTTTAGCTACATGCAAACGAGAACCTAGTCAAGATGTCGACCAGTTCGTTCAAAAACTGAAGTCATTTGCTGAAGACCGTGAATTCAAAGCATTATCTGCTGTGGAGCATACAAACGAAGCAGTTTGGGATACCTTGATAATCGTACTTCAGTGGAATACTGTTATATCTGCTGATTCGCCGGCCTGCGGTATCTGCTGCTGACCCGCTCCAGTGCCTAGTGTCGGAGAGAAAAAGGCTCACGGAAGGGAACACAATAGCAATATTCCAACAAAGTGGTTGCGAGAGCGCGAATGCGTGCGAGTGCGAAAAGTACAACGGCCTCAAGCTTTTTATTGGAAGGACACTGTTTGAACTTGGTCCAATGCTGACGCACACGGTCTGGCTGCGACGTGCTGCATATTGCGGGGACGTTGTCTGACCTTGATCAACGCTGACTCGCGCTGTCTGGGTTTGATACAAGGCTGTGACGCGCTGCATATTGAGGGGGCGTTGTCTATCTGGTTAACATCTAGCGGACCTGAGAGTCTCGGTAGATTTCGGGCATTCAGTGGTTGCTTTCAGGAAGCTGACCTTCCTGATAAATACTATTCCGTGGCATGAACTAGACCTTGACAAAGTCCACGAAGTCATCTGATCTCTCGGACGTATACGGACAATCTGTTACTTGCTTTGTGTCTACTCCTTCGTCCATTGTTAATCCCGAATGGACAGTTTCTGCCGCTACACAACAAACATGTTACTTTTGTGCGAATCCCAAGCACCCTCGTTATAGGTGTCCCGCTAAAGAATCACTGTGCAAAATTGGTGGAAAAATTGCACATTTTCAACGCGTCCAAAACCTCGAATATCACGCGACTTCAGCTCAAGACCCATCAGCCTCTTCGCGATTCTGTGCTACTGCTTCCAGTTGCCTAGCCAAAACTACAACAGATATTTTGGTCAGCGGCGTTGTTGCCCGAGCTCTTATCGATACCGGCAGCTCCAGGAGTTTCGTTTCTTCAGCAATCTTACAAACTTATAACTGGAAATTATTTCCGTACGATTCTGTGATAACAATGGCGTCGACGATACAGTCGTGTTCCACAACGGTTATTGCCTTGTGTTCGTTCAGTACAAGGATGCTACACAGGAACGGTTCAGAATCTGCGTACTACCGAACCTCTGTGCAGACGTCCTTCTCGGGCATGACTTCCTGGGATTACATGATAAAGTTGAGATTCCATTCGGTGGCCAACAGAGCAGTCTGAGTGTATGAAGCATAACATCCGCGAAACTGGAATCTCCATCCTCATTCACCAACCTTGCTGCGAATTACAAACCGATCACCACGAAATCTCGTCGTCAAACACCAGAAGACGAACAAGTCACATTAACCGAAATAGACCGAATGCTCACCGATGACATACTCAAACCATCAAATTCCCCATGGAGAGCACAAGTGCTCGTAACGCGCAATACGAATCACAAGAGACGTATGGTGATAGACTACAATCAGAGCATCGA